CGTGTAAAAATGCCGAAGTGGTTCCCTTGTAACACCCGCATGTGTGCCCGCCTTTTCAAAACCTGGAGAGCGGGAGAGAAGCGATTGCTGTTTGCAGCGGATTAACGTTCCAAATGAACAGTATCCTTGTGCTTGTCGCCCACTTAGTGTGGATGGAAAATCGCATTCTCACTGACAGCAAAGCCGTAAATCGATAGGAATAGAAGTTTACTAGGGAATATGTTCTACTTTGTAAAAAGAAAAAAAAAGTCTCGTCTCTACTGGGGGACGCGGATGAGAAGAACCTTGTAACTAGCATGTCTTCTTTATCTGTAAATTCAGTACACTCTCCATCAAATTCCAGGTACAATTTTCTTTTTTTTTACCTTGACACGGTGATTCCAGGTCTCTTGTGCAAGAACAAAGAACAGGCCACAAAATGTGGAGGAGGAGGAGGAGGAGGAGGGCACTCGACGCGCTGGGTCTTAAGATGAGAGAAGGCACGCCCAGGCCAACCAGCAGCGTGCGGCACGGGCTGAGCGCTTGCTTGCTGAATGCCAATCCTGCGGTGCAGTTGCTAACGCTGCTGTCACTTACAGGTAAGGAGATACATGAAGCCACTCCGAAAGTCACACAGCTGGAAGTGGGGGATCAGCAGTGTGATGCAGACGCTCCGCCTCTGGGCCCCGTGCGTCGTGCTCAGAACTCCGGCATGCCACACCGCCTTCATCAGAAAGCAACGGTAATGAAAACAGCCCGGAGGTGATACAGCGCAGTGCAGTAGGACCGAGAGCCTCGAATTAGAAGAACGTAAGAAATCGTGGTGTTTAAAGTGGCACTTCGAGTTAATAGAATAGATAGATTTCCCCCCAAATGATACTGCAGTAACTAGAGAGTAGACAGCGGGAGCTGGTTTTCTGCCTAGTTCCCCAGACCAAAATAAATTCAAGATTAATGCTATCGAATATTAAAAAAGCGAAGCCAAATAATAATCACATCAATATACAGGTGAGATATAGCTGAGTACTTGTCATAAACCTGGGCTCGTGTAAACCTTTCTAAATATATCGCGAAACCATAAAGGAGAAGACCGGCAGATCTGGTTTAAAAACCTGAGTAAATTTATTTACGAAAAAAGACATCATAAATAGTTAAAAAGTAAATGACAAACTGGAAAAAAGATTTCCTACGTGGCTTATAATTATGTTTATTTTTAAATATTCAGAAAAGAAAGAAAACAAAATCTTGGAGAAATTCTCATTTTACTAACCAGTGCTGCTGCAGCTTGGTATTCTGGGCTTTTCCCAAGCTTGTTCCTCCCTCCACATTCTGAAAACCTAGGATCCGGGGAGTTCTCTCTCAGCCGGTAACTGCCGGCAGCCGTGCTCACCTCCCGCCTGCCCCCTAGCTGAGCGAGGAGGGCAGTGCACTGGACCGTGTCCGGGAGAGTCCCCGTCCTGTCACGAAGGGCCTGAAAACCTGAGTAAGTCCTAGCCATTCTTCTAGTCACCTCGTTAGGGGCTGACCAGGCCTCAAAGTCCACCTGGGCGTTTCCTTAAATGTAAACATTTAAGGCATACTATAATTTTCCTAAACCCATGCTGACACTGTTTTACTTTTTCCATATGCTGGCACCCTAAAAAATAAAAGCAGTTGGTTTGAACTCTTCTCAACAATGAGAGGCCCTAGCAATTTATATCGATCAGTCATCAAGTATTCAGATATTCATAGAACACTCACTGGGTGCAAATATGAACAAGACATATAAATTATGCAAATTAGACATTTTAGTCATTTAAAAATAATTTCCTACCCCATATGGGCCCTGTTGTTTTAAGTTTGAACTGAATAGAACAACTTGTCATCGGCTGTCATGCTGTTTCACTTCCTTGTGAGTTGCAACAACCCTGTTAAAGGCCAAGGAAGGTTCGGAGCCTCCACGCGCTGGTGGCAGAACTGTCCACGTGGGAGCCCCTGGTTC